TTATTGTTATTATTATTATTGTCATTATTATTATTACTATTACTATTATTCAAATGAGGAAAGTGTATCAAATTAATCTGGCCACAATTTATTCATGATGTCGAGAAATTTTCTCAAACCTCATATACCTTTGTGTTGTTTCACAAGGGTATTCTTTCATCTTTTCTGCTTTGGAAACTTGTCCATGATAAAATTTGCAATTTGAATTTTCCAAGCGAGGCTGATGTCATCATGCATCAGGGCTAGTCTCATTCTCGCGAAGCGAAATGTAACCTTCTGGGACATGGGCCGTTTTTCACGGATTTCTGCTTTTATATTGAATATTTCCAAAACAAGTTATGATGCGTTCTAAACTTGAGCCCGCGAAATGGCCAAGTGATACTGGTCAGCGGATAACTTGATTTGACAGGTGTCAATTGACCAGAACATGGATTTCCAATATCACAGATGTACGCTGTAAACCAAGGCCTGCATGCCTCGGTCGACCTATTGGCTGGAGTATGGCCGCCATGTTCTGCGACTTTGTCGTCGTCGTCCTGTGTACGTGCCCACGAGCAATACCGCTAGCCATGATGACCACGAGAAAAGAAATTCATAGGTTCTATGAGTATGGGGCTCCGCTTGGCGGAGCTCCGCTATTATTTCTGATTATTCCTGNTTATTATTATTATTGTCATTATTATTATTACTATTACTATTATTCAAATGAGGAAAGTGTATCAAATTAATCTGGCCACAATTTATTCATGATGTCGAGAAATTTTCTCAAACCTCATATACCTTTGTGTTGTTTCACAAGGGTATTCTGTCATCTTTTCTGCTTTGGAAACTTGTCCACGATAAAATTTGCAATTTGAATTTTCCAAGCGAGGCTGATGTTATCATGCATCAGGGCTAGTCTCATTCTCGCGAAGCGAAATGTAACCTTCTGGTACATGGGCCGTTTTTCACGGATTTCTGCTTTTATATTGAATATTTCCAAAGCAAACTATGATGCGTTCTAAACTTGAGCCCGCGAAATGGCCAAGTGATACTGGTCAGCGGATGACTTGATTTGACAGGTGTCAATTGACCAGAACATGGATTTCCAATATCAAAGATGTACGCTGTAAACCAAGGCCTGCATGCCTCGGTCGACCTATTGGCTGGAGTATGACCGCCATGTTCTGCGACTTTGTCGTCGTCGTCGTGTGTACGTGCCCACGAGCAATACCGCTAGCCATGATGACCACGAGAAAAGAAATTCATAGGTTCTATGAGTATGGGGCTCCGCTTGGCGGAGCTCCGCTATTATTTCTGATTATTCCTGGAAACCTCCCGGTTTCGGCAATCCCAGGAGGGTATAAAAATAGCCATTTTAAACCTCCACGAGAACATCTGTGCAACGCGCGTGGTAACATAATATACCATTTTACAGTAGCCTATTCAGTGAGTTGGCCTTTTGTTGTGCAAATCAAGTTGTTCTTATGCTAGCTAGTTGAAATTTAGATGAGAAAGGCAGAGAGGTCTGTATCAAAGCAAGGTCACCTTCAGCCTCCATGCATTCATAGGCTAGGTAACTAATCACACAACTGTAAAATGGCCTATTCGCAGAATAACTGTGTACCATTTCTAAAAATAACTTGAGAGCGTTTACTTTGGGCATCTTCCCATAATATGGGGAATTACATGTAACTCTTTACCTTTCATCCTCTCTTGATATCAGTTATTACTTGGCATGCTAGCTAATTTTTGTTCTGACTTTACTCCTCCTACTCTCTCAGATATCCTTCAGTTCAGACTTCGAGGAAAATTTTATTAAGTAAATGCCGGTTTTACTTTGTTGAGACACTTATGAAACAATCTGATGAAGACGACTGCGTATCAGTGGGAATGAAGTTTCCAGACGGTACCTACCAGCGTCCAATTGAAAGCTCGCATTTGTTTTGGGTTCGGCCAGGTAAATGTACCATCTCTATAACCTCTAGCTACCTCGGTTAATTATTGACAGTAGCATTAATTGTTCACTGCTAGGGAAAAATAATTGAAAACTCTAAGGCAATATTTAATTTGCTACAAAAGTCGATTTAAATCGACATTTAGTACACGACCGTAACATAACTTTACTCGCACTTATATTTAAAAAAAAACACACTTGTACAAAATACTACAATTTTGAAAGTCGGAGAAATTCTGCCTGGATAGTCTAACCCTCTGAGGCCGGAACTGACAGTAATTTCCTTTGGGTTGGCAGAGTAAAGTGCATTACACTGTCCAACAGCACCACTCACAAGAGGATATTGACCGGCGCTTCAAAGGATGTTCAAAGATTACACGTAATCTGATATGTTCTTTCGATCTCGTTTTATAACCAGTTCTAAGGCACTTGTGTGTTATATGGGTAAATAAAATGCAAACTACATTGCATTTTCTAAGGGCACTTCCTACGCGATTATCCAAAAAATTACTCACTTATTCTATTGTTTTGTTTTGTAGGGGTAGGTTTTGTAGACTTTCAGATAAATTCTATTCCGAAAACTGTGACAACTGGCCAAAAGCTTGCTATCGAAGGTAATTATAGTCTCAGAAAGATAATTCTTCTTTCTGTCAAGGCATATTAGAGGTCTGAGGTCTTAAGATTTATGAACTGGAAAATTATCCTTTAGTCTCAAGGTCGCATGTAGCGGATTATACCTAATCTTTGTTTTTTTTTTCAAAAGAAACCTCTCCGGAGTCGAAGTGATTATAACAAGATTAGTATATGTAATAGGATTACATGCTGTCCAATTTGGAAATAATTTGATGAAAAAAATTCCGAGGAGAGCCAAAATTGGACGAGGCCGCAGGTCAAGTTCAATTTGGCTGTCAGAGGAATTTTTTTTAATCCAATTATTTCCAAATTGGACAAGCATGTAGTCCTGTTACTTATTAAGGTGGCCGAACACAGTTTTCGCGCGCGCTTTTGCTGATGCAATTCGGCGCGCGCGCAAGGATTGCAAAAAAACAAACATGCCGTCAATAGATCGTTTTCACTGTGACGCAATAAAAAAATAAATCGAAAACCATCCAGTAGAAAAAGCTATGAACTTACGATGTTATAGAAGATACCTAAATAAGACACTTCTCCAAGTGTTAGGCCTGTGCGTTTCCCCAAACTTCAGATATTCGTCGAAATGTTTCGCAGATATTTGCAGAGCCCAGTATGAAAACGCCATGTTGTTGTACCTCCCTGGTACACCAATATGGCGGCCGGAAAATAGTGTAAACATCTGGAACTCACTTTGGCCATCTAGGCGACTGATTATCAGTGCTGATCAAACAAGCATTTACATAAGCACTTTTCATAATGCTCTAACTTCTAAAAAGGCTCAAAATCATGAGATAAG